ATCTTGAAATGAAAATTTGAACTTATGGAAGAATAAGTTCATTATATTATATAAAATCAGATAATTTCTTTTGTATTTAATTTTGTTAATAACTGCTTAATATATATATAACCAAACATTTCAAAATACATTTGGTTTAATTTGATTTTTCAAAGAAAAAATTAACATATTTAATTTTTATCTATTTTTTTAAAATTGGGATGACTATTATGATGATAAAATACAACAACTAATATAAAGAACAATTTATCAATTAATGAAAATTATATTATATTTTTATTTTACATGTAATAACGAAGACTTGAGATCATGTGAGACCAGTTTTCGTGAGACCCGTGAGATCGTTTTTTTACATTTGAAACTTCACAACAAACGTTGTGAAGGTGAAAAAAGTCGAACCTTCACAATATATATATATATATATATATATATTATTTTATGCAAAAAAAAAATTATATTGCCTGAAAATTTTGGTTAAAATACATGAGAGAGACACACATTTGGGATCATGTGAGACTAGTCTGTTTTCATTAGACCCGCGAGATCATCTTTTTACACTTGAAACTTCACAACAAAAACATTGTGAAGGTAGTCTTCACAATGTTTTTACTGTGAAGTTTCAAATGTAAAAAATTGGTCTCACGGGTCTCACAAAAACAATATATATTTTACAAACCATGTAAATCTAACAAAACGTTATTTTATTTTATTTGTTCACTTTTCTTTATTAAGAAGGTTGATTAGTCAATAACATAGGAAACAATTTCATCAAAAATATACGAGGTTTGATTAATCAAGAATACATGGAACAAATTACCAAATGGCCTTTAACCTAGCGGTATCGTAGCCTTTAGCCTCCTAAGAGGTCAGAGGTTCAAACCTCACCAAAGGTAAGAAGAGTGTGTACGTTTATTTGTTGCATTTGTCGTATATAAATATTATATACTTCAAAAAAATTCATCAAAGCAAGAAATACATGAAACCATTTCATTTTCACATATAAACAAAAATATATGAAACAATTTCATCAAGAAAATAATTATATGAAACAATTTTATTCAATTAAACAATAAACCACACGGTTTGTACAACTTGTTAGATTTCACTGGTTTGTAAAATGACATTGGTATACGCACACACACACACGCGAAGGATCATGTAATAATAACTTAATAAGAGTTAATGTGAAAAACATAAGAAGAGATCTGGATCCTTGATCACTTTTAGTCTCACCCCCATCATATGGTGAGAAATTGAGTTGTATATCATATCACTCGTCACATTGGCATGGTAACGGGTAAATAATTTAAGTGGATACTCTTTAAATCACATAATTTATTAAATTTAATATTTATTTTTTAAACAAAATAAAAAAATAAAAGTGGCAAACTTTTATTTCCACTAGGAATAATATATTCTAAGTTACAAGCAAAGAGTCGTTAAATATCTTACACGTCCTCCCACTTTCGTCCCACCCAAACCTTCCAACGTTACCCTCTTTAATCTCCCAACCCTGGCCCACACCTTTACATCAAACCCTTCGACTTTTAGTCAAGCCTAAGACTCTACTTACACCCGAACCTCCTTCCCAACCTAACTCCATACCTACCTATATCTTGTACTTAACACTTTAGGGTTAATCTACCAAATGTTTACCGGTAAGATTTACGATTGTCATTTATTTTGTCGAGTAACGTTTTCTGTAATTAAAATGAATTGTTAGTAAGAGTCTTTTATCTGGTAAACAGTTACTACTCTGTTAGGGGCAGAGATTCTTAGGTTTGGCAGGTAGCGAGATGAGAACGAAGATTTATTATCATACTCGAAGCGGGGTCGAGATGGGGGGCCGGGGATGGCATTTATCCGCTTATAATCCGACCCCGATTAATTATTTTATTTTATTTAATATATGTATATAGTGTGTATAATTATAATATATATATATATATATATATATATATATATAGAGAGAGAGAGAGAGAGAGAGAGAGAGAGAGAGAGAGAAATTGATTATTATACAACTCAATCTCAATCGTCCATTTCATTTGATTAATATGTGATTTCATACAAGTTTTGATTGTTTCATAATATAAAGTATTGATCATAATTAATGAATCATATTCATCTTTTATAAATATTCAAATCATAATAAATGAACTCTCATCATTTTCATAAATATCTCAATTTATTGGGTTGCATTGGTTGTACAAATGCAACAGATTGTATTTGAAACAAACTTTTTTCTCTCTCTCTCTCTCTCTCTCTCTATATATATATATATATATTAAATGACAAATATATTTGGTATTAAATATTGTTAATTAATGTATTGATAATTCATCAAAATTTTAATTTTAAATACATTGTTCTTTACTAAACAGGTATCCAACGGGTTCCCTAAATCCGCTGGAGATTACTTACCCTCAAACCCGTTGGTATTAGTTGGAGTGGGGCCGGATGGCTTAAATGAGGATCTGGGACGGAGGATGCATTACCGATCCAATACTTGTCATTTCCATTCATATTTACTGCGTAAGAGTCTTCTCTCTCACTTATCGAGTAAAATCCTCAATCCTTGGTATGCCTATTACTGGGAAAGATTCTCGATTTTTATCATGTAATCATGTTCATCCACTAAGATAAGTGAGTTCGGTAAACGTTTGATAAACGACTCCTTAATTTCACTTAAAATCATGATGAAAATAATCGGTAACAACATAATAATTCATAAGGGTTTCGATTTCCAATGGTTTAACAAAATTCGAGAGAGATACAACTGACGTGTTCAATGTATTTTTTCTTGAGTGTCACCAGATTCTTTATTGAATTCCAGTCTCGCACATTTCAGATCCATCAACAAGGACGACGGATTTTGGTGCCATCAGATTCGTAATTCTAGTGGAACATGCTGTAACAATCTCGCAACTAAGTTATTGATGTTAATCGTTAGGTCTACCTACAAACCTAAATGGAAACATAATCAATATCTTCGGATGATAAGTGTACCAACCAAAAAAAATATGCATCATTCTTGCAATATCCTCGATCTATGATTGAAATTCAATTTCTTCTGAGTTTACTCTTCGTTTTCTTTTTTCTTCCCATAACAGCACGAGTTTCATTTACTTTAAGAACTAATGGCGAAGATCTAGACTTCTGCACTTGCTAGCTTGTAGATCTTGAAGACGTAGAAATATCATAACCCGAGTTATGACGAGTTATAACCCTCCTGAAATTTACCATGAAAAACCCATTTTTGTAGTGAACTTCAGAAGACAGTAACCTTTGACTCGTAACTCATATCGAGACTTTTTTAAATTGCGTATTTTTCAAAGATCTACAAGGTAATAAATTTTGGGTATCTAAATCATCATAACCTGTTCGAAATCTCGTCATAAACATTTTGCAAACAGTTTTGGAACTGTATTTGTAGTGAACTTCTGGATGCCCTAACTATGGCCTTCTAACTCAAATCGAGATATTTTTTTTTTTAAAATTGCTTATCAGTTTTCAAGATTTGCATGCCGGTAAATTTGGGATTTAGAAAGTCCTGACCTATTCGTAAACACGTCGAAAGACAATCATAACCATACTTTTCGTGACTGGTAATTTGGATTCAGATGATTTTTCTTGAAACTGCTTAGTTTTTTCGAAATCTGCAAGCTGGTAAAATTTAAGAATTTATAACATCATAAGCTTTTCGTAAATGATCATACATCATTTTTTTTGTAGTAAACTTCAATTGACGATAACTCTTGACAATATAACTCATATCAAAATGATTTTTTTTTACGTTTGTTTAATTTTTCAGTATCTTTAACCCGGTGAAATTTTGTAGTACATCTCGTAATCATTACAGCAAGGATGCGTTTGGTTCATTGAATAACAGAACAGGATAATAGTCATTGTTTCAAGTTTGACATGACTTTTATGTGGAACAAACAGGAACAAGGTGAAACAAAACGAAACAAGCGTGTTCCGTCCCACCCCATGGAACAAGACTATATTTTTACTAAAATACCCTCAAAATAATATTAATTTTCTTTTAAAACATCAAATATATCTCCCTCTTTACAATTTATACATTCTTTAAATTTTATTTATTGTATTTTATTCTCTTTAATCTTCATTTTATTGTACACAATGTATAATTTTCTATATTTTGGTTATATTATAATTTATTAAATATAAATACATAAAACTTTCTAATCATATATTTTATTATAAAAAATCTTTATTATATTATAATTTAACAAATTACATAAATTAATCAAAATATAAAAAATATATAAACAATTTATTAGGGATAAATTAGTCATTTTATCAATTATGTCATATCCAGTTTTATCATACTAAACATTCAACAATTGTCCAACTATGTATTTTCGTGTTCTAAGTTGGGTTCATGTTAGACCAACCTGTTTTTGTGAGACCACTTTTTAACACATGAAACTTCATATATGATGGTAAAAGAAAGCCGAACCTTCACAGCGAAAACATTAAAGTTATTTTTACAACATTTTACTGTGAAATTTCAAGTGTAAAAAAATAGTCTCACGAAAGCAGACTGATCTTACGTAATCCAAGTCTTGATATTCTATCTAAATACCAAACACATGAATGCATAAAAAAAGTAAATATTCAGATACATAAAGCAAATGAAAACACCCACCTTTTTTGTCTTAAAATTGAAATAAATGTCTATTTTTGGAAAATAATTTAATTACGAATATATATATTTTGAAAAAAGTGCAAAACATGTGATATATTTTACATAAATGGTAATTTATTAATTACAAATAATAAATAAATAAATAATTACTTAAATGCCTTTTGGCCCATAAATGCCTCACCGAACCTTGCTTTCCGAACCTGCCTCGAGGTTCAGTCCTCCCTCCAGCTTTTTGATATATATATATATATATGTATGTATATGTATATTCACATTTTCTTCTCCCTCTTAAAACCACTTTCTCACTCCGATTCTTGCGTTGCTATCAAACAGTAAACCTGAATCTTCACGAAAATTCTTTGAGTTTTCTTTGATTTTGTGTTCGAGTTGTTAGCGTGTTGATCTTGATCGGATAGTGTGTGCTGAATTGTAGCCAATTGAAGTTCATTTTACTTTAGTTGTGTTTATCAGAATTTCGAGCAAGTTTGGAGGAAATTGAGTTGAAGACAAGAAGTTGCATATCGGAATTTGGAGGTATTTCATTGTTTTTAGTAGTGGAGGCCGGAGAGTACGTGATTTCGTAATCTTTTGGTTTACGGTTTGAGTTCTAGCAACTGATTTTCGTTGAATTTAGCTAATTTTGTGTTGTTCAATTGGAATTTAAGGTGTTTTATTGAGAATCGTGGTTGGTGAATTTGATCAGTCTGCAATGCAGGGTTTGTTCGACTGGTCTATTGGTATGGAACGAGGCGGTTTTGTGGTGGATAAATATGGGATTAATAATTATAACATTTTTCTTCTTTTGATTTGAATTCGGAATTGATATGTGTTGATTTGTTCTGTATGTTTGTGTAGAGATTATTGCTGGGAAGAATTTTGATTCACGTTTATAATTTGGAGTTCTGAACCAAACCACATGGCGCAGAATTGGGAAGCTGATAAGATGTATGCATTGCTTAAAATTTTGTCTGTTTGTTAATTTTGTTCCTTTCCGTTACTTGTATCTGAAAAGCTAGCATCGAATTTAATTATTGAATCCTCGAAACTGGTTTAGTTTGACAGGATACGGAAGATTTTGTTCATTCTACTAAATTAATTCAATTTCGGTGTAGTTACGCCCTAAGTTCCCGATCTTGGAAGATTAGGGTTTATATCAATGACCATGAATCTGTCTGGAGTTCACAGCTCCAAAACTCTGTTTCAAATAATTTTATGGAAACAGGATGCTTTTACTACTCTATATCAATGACCATGAATATGTTATTATCTATACTAGTCTCCCATCCCACAATTGGGAGTACTTATCATTTTGTAAATCCAGGCTAGTAGTTTCAATTTAAAAACTGGAGAAGTTTTTCTCTAGCTGCATGTTTTTTAGTTTTTAGGTATGTTTCAGATTATAATGCTGTTACCAATTTTGTTCTAACTACCAAAAAATCTTATCAATTATGAAGTTGAATATGCTCACTCTTTTAGGTTGGGGAGCATTAATACTATTGTAATTGCAACTTTGATTACACACATTTGTTTAAACATTTTCAGACAACAGTAACTTCTTTGATGACAATGGGTTATAAAGCTTACAATTACGCTTCATCTAAAACCATTCCTATTATCTTAAAAGAATATTATTTGTTCATATAAATAATAAAAAACCACTAAATTTGGGACAAAAGGGTATTAAAATTGTCCACTTGTGGTAATTCTCAGTTGAATCAATTTTATTCATATTCCTTTTTGCTAGGTTGGATGTTTACATCCATGACTATTTGTTAAAACGGAAGATGCACGCATCTGCCAAAGCTTTCATGACTGAAGGGAAGGTTGCTACAGATCCTGTAGGTATGTTTTTCTCATGTCCCAGTTCTCAAATCTGGGCATCCAATGTAGATCTGCATGCCAAGGCTTTTGGTACTTCACTAATTGGCTTATGTGTTTCTTATATCGATAATTCGAGCTTGAGATCGATCTCTCTGCTTGTTAATCTCTAAGGTGAGTAAGGTGGAGGAAGGTGGCCAATGCTTCATCCTGAATATAGGGGTGAACCTGGATTTTAGGGCTGGTTTGATTTCTTTTCAGCAATAATTTTGGCGTGGTAGTCAGTTAAGTTATTGTGTCACTTGGTTCATGAAGGGCATGGAAAATCGGATTCCTATTCGTCTATTATCTGGTTTTCACCGATTGGATTCCTATCATAATTTTCTATCAACGTATTTGCATGGCTAGATGGCTAGACTTAGTAACTAGTCTCCAATTTGTATGTGGCCATGGTATCATTGATTTTCATAGAAGGGTGATTGAAACATAGAACAAAATTTAATGACGATTTCTATACATGAAGGCACAGTGACGCACATATAAATGTTATATACATGATGCATGCAATTTGAAATATATTACATCAATTGAGTGAATAATCGTGTCTCCAATTTCATTGAATTGGCAGCTATTGATGCTCCTGGTGGATTTCTCTTGGAATGGTGGTCTGTCTTCTGGGATATATTTATCGCTAGGACAAACGAAAAGCATTCTGAGGCTGCTGCAGCTTACATAGAGGTTTTTTACTTTGTGATTTTTTTTGTTCATAAATTGACATGTTCAACAGTTGAAAAAGTGGTTACCCTTGTACTGTATTTGCCTTGTGTTTGTGCTATTAATCTTGATATCAAATCTATCTTTGTTTTTCTTGTCCACTTTTTCTGTTTTTTCTTTTCTTTTTGTTTTGAAACCAACACCAGACACAACAAATGAAAGCAAAGGAGCATCAACAGCAGCTGCAAATGCAGCAGCTGCATCTGATGCAGCAACGAAATGTTCACTTACAAAGGAGGGATCCTAATCATCCTCCACTTGGTGGCTCTGTAAATCCTATGAATACTGATGGAATGATGGGAAAGCCATCAGCCAGTACAATGGGTGTGAAGATGCAAGAGGAACCCATGAAACATTCTCATTCTATGGTTTCAGAAACCTCACCAGCTCTTCTTGATGCCAGTAGGATGACCCTGCTGAAGCCGGCCAATAATCATCAAGGGTAAGTCAGTATTTGTCAATGTAAATTCTCCTTTTATTTCTTTCCCTTAAATTGGTTGGGTCTTTATGCTCTGCTGGTTTTTGTTGTTGATTCAGCCTGTTGATACCAGGCAATTCTCCAAATGTGTCTTCAACTTTGCAGCAAATTCAAGGGAGGCCACAGTTGAATACGGTATATTCCTAATGCTTTGCATGCACCTTTATGTCTTTTGCTTATTCTCTGTTCCATGTTTTGGCTCATGAGCTTTTACAAATCTTAGGAAATTAAACAAGAAGTTAACTTGGGTAATACACAGAAATCCTTGCCTACAGACCCTTCATCAATTTATGGACAGGTTTTGCAGTCAAAGTCTGGACTAGGCGGTGGAGGTAATCTTTCTACACCTCTTGCAGTCAAAGGATGGTTATAAATGGATATGCACTGACAGTTACTAGAAAAATATTTACCCATATCCATGGGGACATATGGTTATTGAGAGTCTTATAGTTATTGAGTATCAATTTTGTCATATTTTCTTTGCTGGTGTATTTTTGTCCAGCACATCCCTCTTGCATGCACTTTTTTAGGCCTTAAATTGCCTTAACTCTACCTAAACCAGATTTTAATTGAACTTTTCTTCTTACTACACCCATTTTTATTTGCCTGAACCCCATAATAATGTTTAGTATGTATAAACAAGCTTGATCTTGTCTCTCTCGCTCTATGAGTTCAGAAACAAGTAAGAATTGTGTCAATGTGCTTTGTTGAGTCTTATCTGTTTAACGAGGGGATGATTTGTATACAATTTCAAAGAGAAGGTTTTTGTATATTTCAATAGTTTGGTACGTAAAATATTTATGGAACTAGGGTACCGCAAAGTAATCCTATAACGTAGGAAACAAACTTTTGGATACTACGACAGAAACGACTAACAAACTTTTGAGGACTAGGATAATACGTTAGAACTGATTACTCCTAATTTATGATGTATTATCAACACTCCCCCTCAAGGTGGTATGTATATGTTATTAACACCCAACTTTCTGGTAATTTCTTGAAATAGCTTGTTAGTGAGGCTTTTGGCCAATATGTCAAGTTGTTGACTACTTGTTGCTTTGTGGGTAAGTAGACCATGCACACACTTCCGGTGTCTAATTTTTCTTTGATAAAATGAAATCAACTTCCATGTGCTTAGTTCAATCAACTACACCCATTGTTACTTCTTTATTTTGGTAAAGTTTCGTGAACGAACAGCAATCAACACTCAACAGTATGAAAGCCGACTCAATACTATATTTATTAATGAATTTCCATTTTATATCTCATATCCTTCCTTCAGGATTGAATCAAGGTGTTACTGGTCTTCCATTGAAGGGTTGGCCTCTAACTGTAAGTTATTGTGGTTTTTTTTTTCTTGCTTCTTATGTTATTATCTAGTTTGAAGGTAAAGTTGATGACTGGTATTAGCAAACTGTGCAGGGAATTGACAATTTACGCCCGAGTATGGGTTTGCAAGTACAAAAACCCAACATGCCAAACCAGAATCAGTTTTATTTGGCATCACAGCAGCAACAGGCCTTAGCGCATGCCCAGGCGCAAGGCAACCTTGGAGCTTCACCAAATTATGGGCTTGTTGGATTGCCTAGAGGCAATCTAAGTATGAAGGATGGTCAAACGGGAAGAAATGATGGATCCGTAAGCTCCCCTGGACAAATGAATTCACCCAAGGTTCAGATTTTCTATGGAAGCTGTTGTCTCTTTATTACTTTTTCTTTGAAGTATATAAAATTATACCTGGCAAATACTAACAGACACTCCTCACCTTTGATGAGGTTTGAATCCTTGACCTCCTAGAAGGCTGGGGCTCTACCTGTGACCCAGGCACGACTGGGCCAATGACCCTTTGGTAGTCTGTATCTTGTTGCTCCCAATTAGTCAAGTTTTCCTCATATACAAGGTCTTATTTACAAATAGGAAACGCTACTTACTAAGTTATTATGCAGCCCAAGAGATGATAGTTATTTTATTAAAGTTCTTTCTATCACGACAACTTGTTCACCAAATTGCCAAGTAAGAATGACCTAACTGGCTCATCAAAATAAAACCCTTCAAATTTCTGAAAAAAGCCAACCTTTAGTTTAAGCACAATTTGACTCATCCATGCAGCACCTGCGTCATGCTGGCAAGAGTCGCTACATGAACGATTATTTTGAAGGTTGTTCTATTCAATATGGTGTATTCTGATGCCAAAATTACATAATATATACGGAATTTAAATTATCTTTCTCCCCCAACCAATGAACATCAAAGATGACGGTAATTAGCCATTAGGCAGTTATATACTTTCCATATTGGCCATTAGGTAATTAATAACTTGTCTAGATGATATGTATTACTTACTGAGATGATTCCTTATTTGAACATTGCATACTTGTCTACGAGAAAGCTTACAATTAATAACTTGTTGGGTGAGGAATGTTCTTTTAGCATTTTCTAGAAGATGCGATATGGTTCTTTAGTGCCATGCACCTTTAGTGTTAATGTTCGATTGTTCATATGCTGATCATGATTCAAAAGATGTCCAGCATTAGTTTGCTCTTTTGCTTTCAATATTCCTTTAATTTTGATGCTGAATATTCATGTAACAGATGAAGATGCCTCAGATACAACAATCTACTTCTCAACAGCAGGACCAGTTGCAGCAACAGGTTGTGCTTGTAGACTAAACCCCTCTTTATTGCACACTTTATTTAATAAGACATTATCATTTTAAACATGTAAAGTTTTTCAGTATCAAGTTAAGTAGCGTTTATTTGTTTTCTGTAGTCTTGATGTATTCTGGGTTCATCTAGTTACCCATGTTTTCGAACTTTTTAGCAGAGCAACAGAAAAAGAAAACAGCATTCGTCTTCTGGACCAGCCAACAGCACAGGTACAGGGAATACAGTGGGCCCTTCCCCAAGCTCCCCAGCATCAACTCATACGCCTGGTGATGGAATAGCCACAGCTAGCAGTCTGCAGCATGTGAACAGTGTACCGAAAAGCATGATGGTGTATGGTTCAGAAGGAACGGGTGGCCTTACGTCGTCAACCAATCAGATGGTAACTCTCGGTAACACCTTTTGGTCATGATCAAAAGTGTTCAACTTGATTTTTCACAAGTCACCTTCTAGGTTTTAGATGTCTGTTAGGGTCCCACATCGGTTAGACCTGGATCATTTCTCCTGTAGATATGTTGGAACCTCTCTTCTCTCAAGGGCTCTTTTGGAGAGTAATCTAATCAATGGGGTTCTACATATTCTTACAAGGTATCAGAGCCAAAGTCTACTACTCTAAGGTCCCGTTTGGTTTGAAGGATTCCATTCCAATCCAATCCCATATTTGGTTTAAAGGATTTCATGGATTTGAAATCCCGGGATTTCATTGAAATCCTACAAACATAGGATTTTGAAATCCCATGGGAGTGGTTGGTATTTAATGGGATTTCATAGGATTTTTATATAATAATGTTTTAAAATACGTTTAAAACATTTGTTTTGTAATAAACAATTAATAAAAAGGTAATTTAATAATTTTTATAATTATTTATAAATTATTCTTAAATAATGGAATTCAATTCCATTCTAAATCCTACAAAACAAACACACCGAAGATTTCAAATCCTTCCAAATCTAAATCCCTCCACAAAATCCAAATCCTACAAAACAAACACTAAAAATTTGAAATGCTTCCACAAAATCCAAATCCCTCAAAACCATTACATCAAACCAAAAAACGCCCCCAAGGACTCGACGCTCCGGGGCAATCCGCACTCGTCTAGCTCCCTCACCCATCTAGCCTCCTCTCGACACTCTTGGACAATCCGTGCCTGTCTAGCCCCTGTTGGAGGGGGCGGGGGCGTGTTAGAGTCCCACATGAGTTAGACTTTTCTCCTCAGTGTATGTCGAAATCTCCCTTCTCTTCTCAAGGGCTCTTTTGGAGAGTAACCTAATAGGGTTCCACATATTCTCACAATCTCTATTCAATTGAGTATGAGATGATGACACTATGTTCTGATCATTAGCTATTGTTTCATATTGCAGGATGACATTGAGCATTTCGGGGACGTTTCCCTGGAAGATAATGTGGAATCTTTTCTGCAACATGATGGAGGAGATGCAAGAGAACATTACGGTACAATAAAGCAGACAGTTACTGAGCATAAGACAGAGTCTTCCAAGGGTATTCGATCCTATCACTTCATGTACAAGTAGAACTTTCTAATTATTCTCAGGTCATAGCTGAACTCTCTTTAACAGGTTTTTCGTTTGGGGAAGTTGGTTGTATACGGACAAGAAAGAAGGTCTTGTGCTGTCATTTTTCTTCAGATGGAAAGTTGCTAGCTAGTGCTGGCCATGACAAAAAGGTAAACTGCAATATAATTTGACCAGGTAGAATTCCCTGTTTGTATTTCTGTTTTCTTGTCTGATAGAATTTGTTGCTTGCTTCTAACTTGTTTTTTTAAATTTTAGCACCACTTTTCTTGTTCTTCTTATGTTCTTTTTCCACAAATTTTTGGAGCAAGTATTATCCTTTTCTTCCGGCACATTTTGCACAAGCTGGGGGTTTTCACGGAAACGGCGGCTCTACTCTTTGGGGTAGAGGTCATGTCTGCATACATCTCACCCTCCCCAGACCCCATATATGTTTGGTTTTACGTATGCCTGCACCTAATTGTTTTGTTTTATTACGCTCCTTGCTGTTATTATTAGAGTATGTGCTGTAAACATTAACATCAAGTGAAATTTAATAATTGGTTGCTATCTTCAGGCTGTTTTGTGGAACATGGATACCCTACAAACTGAGAGCACCCCTGAAGAACATCAGTTATTAATTACTGATGTTCGGTTTAGACCAAATTCGACTCAGTTTGGAACTGCTTCCTATGATAAGTCTGTGCGAATATGGGATGCAGCAAATGTAAGATTTCTCTCCTCGTATATCTATTGCAACTACTTGCGTACTCGTGTGATCTAGGGGGATGCAAAATTTTATTGTAAACCGAGAATGGAAAATTAATCTAAATGTATCCTATATCGATATTGGTGTAAAATTAAAGATTATAAAATTTCATTTTTTGGAATAATTTGGTTAATTTAAAATTTTATTATAATTGCAGTATTTTAGATTTAAAAATGAAGATGGAATTTATTTTTGTTCTGATTGAGTATCCTTTTTGGAAAAAAGATAATGATGGATAGGGCTCAATGGTTATCATGTAGTTGAAGTGTTTTATTCGTTGGTAATAGGTTAGTTTTATGGAGCTTAAAAAAACTTTATAAAGTGGTTCTTATGCAGTAGTTATGTGTAAATTTGTAATTTAAGGGATTATGCACTAGTAAGAAGTATCCTAATGCTTAATAAGTTGTTTTTATGACTTTTACCTAAATGCTTTATAGCATAGTATAAATGTATCTCTGAGGTGGACATGTTGAGTATCCCTCGTGTACTTTGATCATTTTCTTTGCTTTTGATAGTTAATATTTGAACATTATGTGCTTGAAAGATTGGCTTTATGACCAAAATGTCAGTGGCACAATTGGTACCCAGGTTACTAGTAAATCCCAACCTTCCTACAGGTCAAGGGTTCAAACATCACTAACATTGTGTTCTCAAATTTGGGGTGAAAAGAGAAGACAACAAATGGAAGGAAAAGAAAGGAAAGGAAAATAATTTTTTTATTTGTGTTCTCGAGAAGGAAGAAGAAGGAAGGAAAGGAAAAGAAAGAAAATGATTTTCTATGTTCTTGAACAACAGAGAAGGGGAAGGAAAGATGACATTTTTGCAAATATACCCTTTAAAATGTATCATTTAAAATGAAAGGTTGGGTAATTTTGTAATTTTAATAATCTTTTTAAGGGTTTTTAATTTATTTCCTTTCCTTTCCTTTCTTCCCACATTTGGGAAGAAACTTATTATTTTCCTTCTGTTTCCTTTCCTTTCTCTCCTACAACAGTTTTGAGAAGAGGCTTTCTTTTTACTTCCTTCCCCTTTCCATCTCTTTCCTTTCCTTCATAATACAGGTTTTGAGAACACAACGTTAAAAGCGAGGAGTGTGTGTGAGTTTTGCTGTATACAAATATAATATACTTCCAAAAAGGTTGGGTTTATAAATGGGTCGGTTACATTTTCTGTTGCAGCCAAGCTATTGTCTGCATGCACACACGCGGCATACATCACATGTTATATCCCTAGATTTTCATCCCAAGAAGAACGATCTCTTTTGCTTCTGTGACAGTAACAACGAAATCCGCTACTGGAATATGAATCCATTCCAATGCACTCGTGTTTCTAAGGTTGGTCAAGAGTTCAATCTGGTTGCTCTTTTCTGTTTGTAATTTTGATCTCCAGTTTTCAGATATGGATTTTTTTATATCTATTTGCGGGTGTAGCAGGGAGGTAGCGCACAAGTGCGATTCCAGCCCGTAAGTGGACAACTACTGGCAGCAGCATCCGATAAAATGGTGTCCATCTTTGACGTTGAAACTGATAGGCAAACTCATTCCTTCCAGGTATGTGATCACATCGGCTAGACTTGAACCATTTCTTTTTAATATATGTTGGAACCCGCCTTTTTGGGTTTTTTTGGAGACTAACCTAATGAGGTTCCACATTCTCAAATGACATTAGAGCCAAGAGTTACAACTCTAGGGAACTCAACATTCTGGGGCAATCTGTACTCCTCTAGCTCCCTCTCAACACTCTGAGACAATCTGTGTTCGTCTAGCCTCCATTGGAGGGGGTGTGTTCATTGGTGGATCCATGGCCAAGAAAAGTTTCAAAACTAACCACATGGGTTGTGGCCTAGTGGTTGGGCTCGGGGGATGTGGTGGAATATCTCATCTGCCCAGGTTCAATTCCAGGCGTCCACAATGGTTTGAACACTAAGTTTATCAGAGTTGACGTCTTACAATCGCAATTTTCCGGGATTAGTCTCAACATAGCCTGGGATAAGAAGTTTCAAAAATTGTTTTCGATAAATATATTTTCTTTATTTGCCCCCCCCCCCCCCCCCAAAAAAAAATTCAAAATTTAAGTTCAGACCCCATCAACAAACTTTAAATTCTTGGATCCGCCATTGGTTGTGTTGGAGTCCTACATCGGCTAGACTTAGACCATTTATCTTCAATACATGTTGAAACCTTCCTTTTCTCTTCAAGGGCTCTTTTGGAGAGTAATTTGACGGGATTTCACGTGTCCTCACAAAGTCTATTATTTTTATAGTTGATATTGAATTTCGAGAAAATGGTTAATTGTCAGGCACATATGGGACTTGTAAACTACTTGTGCTGGGACTTGAATGGGGAATATTTGGCTTCTGTAAGCGAAGATATCGTGAGAGTGTGGTCCGTGGCATCTGGGGAGTGCATTCATGAGCTGAGTTCCAATGGAAACCTCTTCTATTCTTGTGTCTTCCATCCAAGTTATTCCGCTCTTTTGGTCATCGGTGGAATGCAGGTAATAAACGCTTTTGATTCTATATTATGTTTTCCTCCTAAAACCAAACAAACACATGCTGACCTCTACCCAAAAGGGTAAAACGGCTATTTCCGTCAAGACACCCGTGTGAGATTAAGGGCCCTTTACCAAATGCTTTTGATTTTATATCTTTTTTTCCTAAGCCAAACAAACCTAGTATATCTTGCTCAAAAGTACACAATGCTGAGCACTACCCCAAAAGGTAAAACAACTGTTTCCGTGAAGACACAAGTGTGAGATTAAGGGGCATTTACTAAATGCTTATCGGGTAAGTGCTTACCAGGTAATAGTCATCATTCTTACTTACCTTATCGGGTAACATTCTCGACCATCAAAATGGATTGGTGGTAAGTGTCTTTTATCCGATAAACGCTGATCAAGTAAAATTCTTCTGCCCCACTTATTGGGGTAAGATTCTTGGTCCTTGCAACTTACTGGGTGAGATTCTTAGTTTTTGCCATGTTCATCCAGTAAGGTAAGTGACACTCAATAAATGTTTAGTAAACGGCCCCTAATTTCCCCTTGGGAGGGGTGGGATGCTGACCTCTACCCCGAAAGAGTAAAATGACTGTTTCTATGAATGCACCAGTTGTGAGATTAATTTGTGGTTATCTGTTTGTGTTGAGCAGTCTTTGGAGCTATGGAACATGGCGGAAAACAAGAGCATGACGGTTCCAGCTCACGATGACATTATTGCGGCTTTGGCACAGTCGCCCGCTACCGGAATGGTTGCCTCCGCTGGCCATGACAGTTCTGTTAAGCTATGGAAGTAATAAGCATATATATATATATATATATATATATATATATATATATACATACATATATATATTTATATGAGTATGATATTCAATATATGGTTTTGGTAGCAAAGTTAAGTATTAGGAATCAAATGTATTAGCCACCGTTGTCTACCGAGTTGACTCATAATACGATCATACAATTTGGTGGATTTTCTGAATTTAAAAACGCTTACCAACAATCCATTTTGATGGATAATAATATTATATTTAAATCCAACAAACCTTTCTATTTTAAAGATTACAATATTAATTATATTATCTGAATATTTCATACATTTAATAAAATATTATTAATTTTAAAGCTTCTCTAGCATGTAACTTAGTTGGCAAAAGGATGAAACAGCTTTGCTTCATTCCTGCATCATACCTTTTTTATCTTTTGATCCATCGATAAAAAGATTCGTTCTCTTTATAAAAAATACGAATCGAGACACGCCCCGAGTTCAATACTTTACAGTAACCTCAACCGTTGAATAAGTCAAAAAAATATCCTTTTACATTGATGTCTTTGAAGTCGTGTGGGACCGGTTGAGTTTGTTGATAATCTCTATTTTTTCTAGTTGAAACAAAACTTTTACAAGACATTAATGAAATGACGATTTTCAAGGATCAAATCCTATCTCAACTATTTTTTTTTTGGAATTTTTAAAAATATTGCTACCTTTGCATGATTTGCAGATGAGTTAAAAGACAATTTTCCCTCACTTTTCGTACATTTGTGGGCCTTGATGAAAGGTGAATTATTTTTTTTCAATGTTCATCTACTTACGGAGGTGCCACTTGTAGATCCATGTAACAGTTGAATTTTATTTTTGTCTTTTAGCTTTCCACAAGTTACAAAGATGTCATTTACGAAGTTAGTGATATTTTAGAAATCTCTGAAAGGGAAATAGCTGAGATTAACTTGATCACTGAAAATAGCTATTTTTCTTTAATTTCCAAAAAATTAAGGGCCGATTGGGATTGCTTATTTAAAATATTTATTGACTTATTCTAGTGTCATCTGATAATAAACACTTTTTAATGTTTGGAAGAGAAAAAATAATGCTTTTACCGATGTCAAAGTAATAAAAAGTTTTTGATAAATTACTTGGAAGCTTTGAAAACCAAATTTCATTTTTATCCTTTTCTTTTATCTGATTAAGGAGTCCATAACCTTCTCTCTCTGCAATCCGCCATGGAAGTTGAAGCTGAAGGTGACGATTTTTGTTTCAACCCTAAAGCTGAAGTTGAAGCCAAACCGCTTTCTGTTTCCTTTCAAGCTCTCAAACAAGCTTCCCACGACTTGCAGAAAACCCTAATTCCAAGAAGACCGATTGAGTCGGAAATTTAGAGTTGCTAGCTCGATTGAGTCGGACTTAGAGCGTGGATCAATTTGGGCGTTCAATCGATTTGATGGAGCAGTTTCAGGAACGAATAGCTAGAGGATTTGAGCCCCTTCTTCTCCACATTTTGCGATTCTCAGATCGAAGGTTTTTGTTGAGCCCCTTCCTCTCCACATTTGATGTTTTTTTTTATACCTTTTTTTGTCATTTTACATGGATAAACAAAATTTGTCGAATACTAAAAAAAACAACTTATCAAAATCTCATTTTAAGGTTATATATTTCTAAAGGACTCTGAGGATTTGTATACATGGATATAAACATTCATAGGATTGGACAGATGTTCTTGAAACCACTTGGGTTGTGGCACACTGCTCAATGCTCAGGGTAATGTAGTGGAAATCCCATCTTCCCCGGGTTCGATTTCAGGCGCTGCGAATCCCTTGTGACTATGGAGGTTCACCTGCGATGACTCCAGGCTATTCATAGTCGTCCAGGGATTAGTTGGTGCGCATAATTGTCCCGGAAACCCACAGTTACCAACAAAAAAAGATGATAAAAGTATTTTATCGTGAAACACTTGCAACAAAATACTTGGTAAATAACCATTTTTATTTAGCGCTTATCCCAAGCGAACCTCTCTCTCAGACTGCATTCTTGCGCTGTTAGCACTTACCCAATTTGTGTTGATAATTATAGGTCAGTTTTATTTGTAGAATTCAATGATGGAATAAAAACTAACTCCACAAACAATTTTAGAAGCAGCAAATCCAGATTGTGTAGCCAAGGCCTCATATTCTCTGGCTGTCCTCTCTTTGCCACCAGGATTTATAGCCAACATCACCATATCACCATCAATATTACTCGTAACATCACTTTTACCTGCCTTCTCTTCTGGGACAATACTTTCTAACACCACCACCTTCCCGTTCTCCGGCAACGCCTTCCAACAATTCTTTAATAGCTTGATGCAATACTCGTCGCCCCAATCGTGTAATATCCACTGTAGTTTCTCGTCAAGAGTCATTTATCCGAAAGTATTAAAGAAACCAAACCATACCAAACCAAACCAAACGGACCCAGTAAATCCCACTTGGAGTAGGGTCCAGGGGTGAGATATATACATACTTAGACCTCTACCCCAAAGAGCAGAGTGGCTGTTTCGGTGAAGACCCCTGGATTTTTGGGGTAGAGTGGTTGTTTCAGTAAAGACCTCGGGATTATACAAGAGGGTGAGAAAACCAGTAGCAGGAATAAAGATTAGCATATGTTGAACAAATCACAAGAAAAATAAAAAAGTAATGAATTGGTATTATGGGAAGCATACTAAAGGTAGGGTAAGGTCAAACCCACAAGAACACATCCCAACCTAGATTGTGGGCCCTCAAAAAAAACTCCCAACCTATCTAACTTCCTTCTGCCTGACTATGCTATGCTAACTATAGGTCCCATGCCTAGTCTGCTACTCTACTCAAGTACTAGTATCTGAGGTCATGTCATCGGAAATATGTATGGTGGTCATGTCCAACCTTAATTGCTCATCCCATGTCCTCCTCACCCTCTTGACAGACACTCTTTGTACTCTCATTGGTTCTGTCATCGGTCTCTATGGACGTGCACAAACCAACGCAATCTCCCCTTTGTCAAATTTATCCTTCGCGTTATTGGGGCAACTCCCAACTCTGCCGGAAAACCTCATTTTGAAATTATGTCTAATATGGTCCGACGACAGGTCCACCTAAACATCCTCCTGATATCTAAAATTTTCCAACTTCCTCTCAACGACATTTGTTGTCGTCCAAGAGAAAATGGAACTCTAGATTTAGTCATGTACAAGTGCCAAAATAATATCACCCCATTTTTATAAGGAGAGGAGAAAATACAATTACTTGGTACAAAAGTTGTATGTAGTAACCTTCATGAAGATAACATCTCCTTTTGGAACGCTTTGAAACATATCTCCTCCAACATGCTCCACTCCTATTAACATCAAGAGACCTTCATTAATCTATACCCAATTCAGCATGATAATTTTATATATACATATATATACACATAGAGTCGGGTACTCGGGTTCAAACGAGAACAATATCTATTTAAGAAAACAAGAAAACGGTTGAATCACATGTGATTTTACACAACATCATGTACAAAATCACATGTGATTTACGCAACTTTGTCCCGCGACCTGAAGGCGCGGCCAAAGTCTCCCGCACATCTTTTTTTGACCGTTAATGTAAAATCACATGTGGTTTTGCACTTGATTTGGCCTGTTTTCGTATTTCTTAAATAGTTAGCATTCTCGTTTGACCCTCCCTCTACATACATATATATACACACACACACATATATACACATACATAGAGTGAGGTTTAAGGAAAACCACCAAGTGCATGTTATGCACTTGTATGCACATGTGCATAGCATGCAGATAAAGGTTACTACGGTGTTTCTCAATTTTTTATTTTTCTGCGGTTTTCCCCTGAACGAGACCCTACACACACAAATATACATATATAGACTTGAGATCACGTGAGACTGTTTTCATGAGAGCCGTGAGACCACTTTTCTACACTTGAAACTTCACAGCAGAACACTGTGAAAGTAACCTTTATAGTGTTTTTGCTGTGAAGGTTCAAATTTTTTTACCTTCACAATGTTTTGCTGTGAAGTTTCAAGTGTAAAAAAGTTGTCTCACGGGTCTCATTAAAACAGTCTGGTCTCATGTGAACCCAACTCTCTCTCTCTCTCTCTCTCTCTCTCTCTCCCTATATATATATATATAAAGGTGAGAAGTTTCAAGATCATACATGATTACATGTGATACAAACACATAATACAACACATGTTGCATTGACCCGCGTATAGCGAGCAACCTTTCCCGCGATCTTTGGTCGCGTTCACTAATCAAGTCGCCCAAATCCTTTTTGACGTGTTGTATCATATAAGATTACACGTTCATATCACATGTAATCATGTCTGCCCTTGAAACTTCCCGCCTTCTCACAAATTGATCAGCTTTCCTAACGATCCTCCCCTCTCTCTCTCTCACACCTGGATACGAAGGTGCAACTTTGAGGACATGTGGCATGTCAAAGTTGATGCCTTTAATGTTAGGGTACTTGGAAACAATAATCTGAAGTGTTGCACCCAAACCACCACCCACATCAACCACCTCCTCCACCCCTTCAAATCCATCATACTTTTCAAGAACCATCTTCATGAGTATAGCAGTGTTCCCATACATTGCCTTGTCAAATATCTCACCAAACCTCTTGTTTTTTGCTTGGTATTCAAATATATTCTCCCCATGGGCCTTGTTGAATGGGATTCCTCCTTCAACCACTGCATCTTTCAAGTGATACCTGCATCCCACAAATCTATTTTTCATTACCAACAATATCTGGTTTATTAGGACTTAAGTTTATAGGACCAAACAATTGTGTGTCATGTGTAACAGTGTTACAATATAGCCTTCGGCGTGTGGCGACTTTGTCTGAATACAAGACAGGCCCATTTTCGACCCTCAGGGCAGGTCCTAAGATTTTTGATGCCCTGTGCGAAAATAAAAAAAATGCCCCTAACCCTATTTTTTTAAGCCAATGAAACATGCTAGTTTTTAAAGAACTTAGAACCTATTCAAGCTAAGTGTCTTATCCTCATGTTGATTTTTATTAATTATAATAAAAAAATACAATTTGGGGGTGGGGGGGGGGTACATAAAAATGAAAACCCCGAATATAGAATATAGAATGGGAAAAGGATAAATTCTGAATTAAGATCGTGCTTCTTTCAGTTTTCCCTTTTCCAAATTGAAATTAACAAAATAGAAATTTTATTTCAATATATGAGACTTAAAAGACAAGGAAAACTATAATTAGTTTTTAACTAAAATAATAAATTACATCCAAATTACTATCATAGTAAGCGAAAAGTAAAAGTCAAAAATTACAGGTCTAAAGACTAAAGGCTAATGGCCTATCTGTTAGCAGCTTAATAAACTTAATGGAACTAACAACTTATTCGCTCAATTATGCATGAATGTTTCGTAGTGGCTTAATGATATATAAAGCAACTTATCTAGTAAGCTTCTAGGGGGAACTTTATATAGAAAGTCAAGTTTTTTTTTTTCCAAACATGTCCCTTCCAACTAAAAAACACTCCTTACATTTGCGAAAAAACTCTATCAAACAAAAACTTTTCCAACTTATACAAACATATTAATTCATACAGATAACTTTATCCATATAGAATTTAATAGAAAATCAATCAAACGACCCCTAAATCTAATGCAGTAATGTCAAATCTCAAAGTAAACAAAAGTCAAAAGAACAATAATAAATTGTAAAATTCATAATTTATGTTATTGTGCATTGCAAAGAACAAGTGCCCAATAATTAAGACGATATCACAATATGTTGTTAATGTTGTGCAGTGTGCTCCAGCTATGTTGATACAATGATGTGCTCATATACATTGAAAATTTCAATTCTCAGATATTTCAATATGCAAGAGGAAGACTCATTATCAAAATGACAAAAGCCCATTCRCCTTAACCTAGTAGGTCAGTAACACATACGACCACATGACCCAACTTTATAATAATTAGTTAGAAATTTAGATTTTTTTGCAAAAAGATTTGAAGATTCATAAATCATAATATGACTCACACAACAACTCGGTAAGTTCAATCAACAATAGAAATCAGTCATTCGAGATTTCCATCTTTGATTTCTTGAATCTGACTTCATGACCGTTAATTGGCTGGAAAGAGAACTCCATGCCTTGAAAATCGAAATAGTCGAACATTGGAGAACAGTAGAAATTAGATTGAATTGTCGGAATGATGGCTTTAATTGGTTCACGATGTGCATTCGATATTCATCACTACTAGGCCTTGAGCCTGTTTTTATAGTTAAAGCTCAATTGTCCAATAACCAAATTATTAGACCTAAAACTAATAACATATGACAACTTGATGCCCCTTTAGGCTTTGATTCCCTGTGCGGCCGCACGGGCTGCACATGGCCAGGGCCGGCCCTGTCGACCCTCATGGCTAGCCTCATCCGTTGAGTGAGCCAAAAAAAAAAATGCTCACTCACGTTGGTGTCCTTGGAGGTGGGGCCGTTTGAGGTTGCCAGTGATCAATTTCTTGCTCAAATGGTGTTAGAATATATATTGATTTATGACGTTATATTGGCACCCTAACAAGCTTTTTAGGACATGACATAAAGTGTCATGTTAGTTTTTCCAAGTGTCTTGTGAACATGTCTTTTTATCGGACACTTGTTTTTATAAGATATTTTTCCAAATAATATCGTATTAAAAGACTTATAGGACACAAACTTGTTCATATGCCCAAAAACGTCATATCGACTTACTGTAACACATTTATATATTATACACAATTGTTTGGTCCTATAAACACAAGTCCTATGAAAGCGTCTATTAGGACACTGACAGTTGAACATAATATAATGTCATGAAACCAATTTCATGGTAGTGAATTTTAGGTGTCATGATATTTACAAAAATCATTATACTTGAGTTTGACTAAGGGGACCGTTTACTAAATGCTTACCGGATTAGCGCTTATCGGGTAAGAGAAACTTGTCACTGTCTGTTTTATGACCAAGAATGTTACCTGACTATGGTGACTCTTGCTGGCAAACGCTTATCCGGTAAGCATTTGGTAAACGAACCCAAACAGAATATCAGATGATAGATAGATAGATAACAAACCATGAATCCATGACTACTTTGTCATTTTGGAAGAGAAAGAAGTTGGCAAAAGAAACCCCTTCTTCATTACTCACAAAATACTTGCATATGGGTGCCATGCCATATAACTTCTGTATCTCTCCATTTTCACTGGTGTGGATCTCACAAGTAAGAATCGATTTCGTAACGAAATACCGAAGAATTCTTTCGATTATGATCGGGGTTTCAGGGTTTCGTGTAGGAAGATGTGAAGCAATATCTGAAGAGGTGAATTGACCGCCGCCACCACCACCACCACCACCACTTCCGCCACAGTCACGTGTAACTTTAGCCATGATTTCAAAAAGATCAAGTTCTATAGCGGTTTTTATGACCATTGGAAGAACCGTCGCCCCTACCATTTGCGTAACTCTTAGTAATTCTTCCTCTTCTATCGACATCTTGCATTCTTCTTGTTTTGCATTCATCGCTAACTATTGATCCGTATTTCCAATTGTAGACGTAGCAAATATATATATATATAGACAAGCTCAAACGAGAGTGACAAGAAAGTTGTCGTTTGTTTTTCGTTCTGTGTGTAGCCTAACTCATCGAACGACTATTATGAGTTTGGACCACATTTTTCTTTAATCGAAACACACGCTTTGTGTGACCTAACCAAAGAAACAACGATGCCTTGGTAAAGATATCGGCCGGCTAAATGTGAGTAGAAATGTAGGAAACGCGAATTAAACTGTCAAATGAAAGCATTATGAACAAAATAACAGTTGATCTTAATGTTTTCTGTACGCTCATGAAATACAAGATTTACTGCAACATAGGATCTTGTGATACGGAATGGTGGTCCATGCCACCATTAATAAAAAAAACTAAGGGGTCGTTTACCTAAATACTTACCCGGTAAGCGCTTATCTTTGGGAGTCAACACTATGATTTATTTTATCGGGTAAGATTGTAGTACATCAAAATGGTATAGTATGCAATAATTTACCTGGTAAGCACTTACCCGGATAGGAGTCATCACTTGCACTTACCGATTAAGGCTCTCCATCTTTATCATTGCTCTTACCAGATAAGATCTTTGACCCTTGCCATGTTCATTTGGTAGCAAGTATTTACCAGATAAGCGTTTAGTAAACGGTCCATAAAGTTGATTATTTTGTCATGTATTTTTTTTATTTCTTTTGTATATTTTATTAGAAATACAAAAATATTTATCATTTTTCTAAAATAAAAAGTGAAGGAAATACATTTGCTTTTCAATTATACTATTAATTATTATCTGGAGTAATTAATTACTCTCTCTACGATTAAGGACAAATATGTCATTTAGTTATTTAAAAAGTGAAATAATTATATATCTTTAAATTTGTGAGCATTTATTTTGGAATGGAGGCAGTATTAGATATCATATATATCAGAATTTTTCTTTTGGTTTTAGGCATCAATTTTTTTTTTCTGTCCGTTAGGGTTCGCAATCAACATGATCATATATGACTACCGAGGCAGCCTGAGAAGAAGCGAAATCGGTGTCACTGATTGGTTGATGTTCAGGGCTGGGCATGATGACTTCCACCACCACTACCTGTCCGTACTTTGCAACGCTGCCCAACAGTTCTTTAGAAGCTTAATGCAATAACCGTCTCCCCAAGCATGCAGTATCCACTATAAACAGATTAAATTCATCATCGTTATTTAACAGATAGTAACTGACAGCTGTAATTTAATACAATTAAAGATTCTATACGAGTCGTTGATATAAATACCAACCTTCATGAAAATAACATATTGACAACTGTAATTTAAAACAATTAAAGATTGCATACGAAACACTGATATAAATACCAACCTTCGTGAAGATAACATCTCCTTTAGGAACACTTTCGAGCATATCTCCTCCCACATGCTCCACACCTGACAAATAATTAACCGAATAATAAAGATACGTTTTTTTGAAGAAATTTGTTCCGCTTTAGTTTTTATGATTACAGTTTTAAAATTGCAAGATATTCGTATTGTATAGTTAGATTTTGAAATCCGCAGCATTGCGCGGGTAAACAACTAGTGTTGGTTTAATTTTTGGTAAAATTATGCTAAAAATTTGTATGCAGATTATTATGTTTTGGATACAACTTTTATGTGTTTTGTGAAGAGTAATGAGAATGATGTATTTGTTTTTTTATAAATGTAAGTATTTTTTTCGTTCAAAAAATGAGGACTTGATCGTTCAAAATATTAAAGTCCATTGGTTTTTTCGGACTTTTTCTACAAACAAAATGTATTTAACATATTTTAGAAAGTCCAAGGATTTATTTAACAGGTTTTGTAATGTCCAATGACTTATTTAACAGGTTCTAGAATGTCCAAGGATTTATTTATTCCAAAAAATTGTCCAAGGACTTAATCGTTCCAAACAGTAAAGTCCATTGGGTTTTTTTGGACTTTTCCCATAAGAAAATATGAAAATAGTCGAATCACATGTGATTTTACACTATAATGTTGCCCGTTAGTGTAAAAATCACATGTGATTTTGCACATGATTTGACTGTTTTTTGTATTTTTTTATTTAATTATCGTTCTCCACCCACACACACACACGTGTGTGTGTGTGTGTATATATATATATATATATATATATATATATATATATATATATATATAACATACAAATTTGTTACCTTATGTCACATTTGTTGCATCCTAGTTGTAACGTGTAAGACTTAAGGCTTGAGTTTGCCGTCACGTCATGCCTCACACCATTTTGAATCTTGATGTTTTTCAATTATACCGTTAATTATTATTTGGAGATATTAGTTACTCTCTATAAATTTAACAATAAATTGTCATTTAGTTAGTTAAAAAGTGTAATAATTACACATCTATAAAACTGTGTTTTTTTTCTTCATATTGGAACGCAGGAAGTATCATATAATAAAACATAATAAGTATCGTTTTTTTTTTTACTTTTGGGATCGTTGTTATATAAAGAAGTCAATATAACGTACATGTATCATTTCAGATTACACTATAAAGAGCACTTATACATAAAATAAAAGGTTCAAACATATATAAAGCAGAAATAGGTCTCTATAACAGACGTTGCGGACTCAAATATTCTTGTAGAACTCCATGATGGAAAAAAAAGAAACCCCAGAAATAATTTTGGTAGAAGTGAATCCAGCTTCTTTAGCCAAGACATCGAATTCTTTTTTCGTACGCTCTTTGCCGCCAGGATTTGCAATCAACATGATCATATCACTACCGACAGCAGCTTGAGAAGAAGCAGAATCGTTAGCACTGATTGGTTGATGTTCAGGGTCGGGCATGATGACTTCCACCACCACTACCTTTCCGTACTCCGGCAGTGCCGCCCAACAGTTCTTTAGAAGCTTAATGCAATAATCGTCTCCCCAATCATGCAATATCCACTATAAAACAGATTAAATTCATTATCGTTATTTAACAGATACAAACTGACAGTTATAATTTAAAACAATTAAATATTACATACGAAACATTGATATAAATACCAACCTTCATGAAAATAACATCTCCTTTAGGAACACTTTCGAACATATCTCCTCCCACATGTTCCACACCTAATGAATAATTAATTAACCAAATAAGAAAGAAAATGAAGTGATAACTTTTTGTTGAAATTTGTTTCCATCCCTAATTGTACCAATCAATGAAAACTTAAGCATATATATATATATATATATATATATATATATACCTTGAGAAGGAGTTGCATCCTTGATAACATGGGGGAGGTCAAAGTTGATGCCTTTGATAGTTGGGTATTTGGCAACAATAAGTTGAAGGGTGGCACCTAAACCACCACCCACATCCACCAACTCTTTTGCCCCTTCAAACCCTTTGTACTTCTCAAGAATCAGCTTCATCACTATTCTTGTGTTATCATACATGGCTTTGTTGAACACTTGATTGAATCTATTGTCCTTTGCAGGGTATTCAAATGCATTCACCCCATGGGCCTTGTCAAATGGGATCCCTCCATCAACCACTGCATCTTTCAGGTGATGCCTGCATTTCATGTTCGTATAATCACGGATTCAGAAACTTAGTTGATCGAGGTCATACTTAAGGGTGTCGAGAAAATTTCGAAGACGAATAACCGATCTGAGCTAAAACGGTTTCGGATTATTTGGTTTCGGGTTAAGCGATTCAATTAACATCAGTAAAGTGAATCATACTAACCATAAGGGTGGTGTCCGATTGGTTTGTGCTTGAGCTCCAAAGGTCAAACGGGTCTGGAGGTCTCAGGTTCAAATACAGGGAAAAATAAAATTCCTCTTTGTGGCCACGGAGGTTTAAATGTGGTGATTCCGGGCTACCCGTAAAATGGGTTATCATTCTGGGATTAGTCGGCTTGTATAGTGGGTTGGATATACGGGTTAATAAAAAAAAAGTTTAATAATACTAAAACTAGATATGAGGAGAGAGAAAACTTATATTTTTCATTCGTTACCGTCAATGATATTAAATTATTACTATTATATTATATATAATTTAAAAAAAAATTATTGGGATGATTAAATTATAAACCATTTTAATAAAATAATTAATGTTTAAATATTCTCTAAAATAGAGAATTTGGTGTAATTTTTGCTTATCTATTTTAGAGAAATTGTAGAGAATACGTCGGAGATGGTCTAGAATCATTAATTAAGGGTCCATTTACTGTACACTTACCTTCACTAGGTCACTCTAGTTTTTGAATCAACATGACAAAGATTGAGAATCTTACCCGGTAAGAACGATAATAAAAACTGAGAGTCTTAACTTATAAGTGAGAGTAACGACACTTCCCTGTTACCTAAGCGCTTACCGGATAAATTATTGACTATGATGTAAGATGTGAAGTTAGAGAATCAATTACCAACAATCGACGATTACTTTATCGTAGATCAAGAGAATTATCGAACCCACGGAAGTTCCGTCTTCATTACGAACAAAGTGATTGGACACAGGTGTCATGCTGTATAAGTTGATAGAATTCCCATGTTCATCCGTAGCGAGGGTCGATTCGAGAATGGATTGGGTGGCGAGAAACCGAAGAATGCGCTCGAGTAAAGGTCGGGTTTGGGGGGTTTGTGAAGGAAGATTAGAAGCAAGATCGGAAGACGAGAAACGGGCACCAGGAGTCTTGGCCATGATCTCGAAGAGATCGAGTTCGATGGCGGTTTTGATGAGCATCGGAAGAACGATGCCCGAATTTATTTGCATAACCTTTTGTAGCCCTTCTTCTTCGTTCGACATCTTGTGGACTTCTTCTGAAGACCCCATGATTCAACTCCGATGGTGCCTATTTGTGAACCTTAGCTATGACATATATATATATATATAACTTTAAGATTAATCGAGATGCATACAAACTGATCTGAATACTGTTATTATAACACTAGTGGGTGACGTAATAATGAAAGCGAAGTTGACGTAGAAAAGTTACCAACTCAATAGTGGGTGCTATTGATGGTGACCATAACTACCATTACTTTTTTTAGTACCTTTCTTCATCCATAACCACTCCGATATAACCACTCAAATATAGTTATACGGGAGAGTTTAGTTATTTTGAGTGATTCTCATGGAATTAAAATGTTGAATTTTATTGGTCAAATTATATTTTTCGTTTGGTTCATCTTTTTTTATATTAAAGTAATCTTAAAATCTTAAAAACTCTATAAATAAAGGAATTTAATGTTCTTTAGCAACTACATGATCTTTTGATGGAATGAAATTCTCTATTTTCATAATACTAAATATTTTTTTAATCCAATGTACCTTAATCTCATAAAACTCAATATGACTATCGTCGACCACCGTCGATCTAAACCAGTGTCATCTGAACCACCACCGATCTGAACCACCGTCGATCACCACCGATCTAAACCACCGCCTGCCGACCACCACCGGTCTAAACCACCGCCGACCACCACCAATCAAACCACCACCGGTCTGAACCACCGTGCATTTGAACCACCTCTGATCACCGCCATTTGGACCATCATGGACCACCACCGATTTGAACCACTGCCGATCACCACCGATCTGATCCATCAACGATCTGAACCACCCCCGATATGAACCTTCGCCGATCTGAACCACATCCGACCACCACCACCTGAACCAACATGGACCACCACATATCTGAACCACTGCCGAGCACCGGCGACTACCACCGATCTGAACCGCCACCGTCGATCTGAACCACCATCCATTTGAACTACCATTGACCACCTCCATTTGAACTAGGGGTGTAAATGATACGAGACAACTCGCGAGCTACTCGAGATCGACTCGGTCAACACTCGACTCGAATAGGCTTGGCTCGAACTCGAGCTCGTCTCGATATATTAACGAGTCAAGTCAAGCTACACAGTACTCGACTCGAAAAGCTCGTGAGATACTCGATTATTTTATATATAATTAGTTTTAAAATATAATCAGTTTTTATGATAAAATTTGTAAAATATAAATAATAAAAATGTTCTACATTTTTAGATATTTAAACAAAATTATGCATTTGTTAATTATAAAACGAATCAATTATTATTTTTATTAAAATCAAAATTAAAAAAAAAAAAAAAAGACAAAGAAAAACTATAAAAAAAGGTTAGTGAAATTGTCCCACATTGGAAGAAAGATGGTAAAGGAAGGGAGAAAAAATGTTATAAAAAGATAGGGAGGTGAATGTAATTTCTAACTTTGTCTTTTTGATGATGAAGTTTGAAGTTGATCATTTAGTTTTGTAAAAACTAAAAGAACACATTTAAGTTTTAAAATTTATAAGAGAAAAATCCTAAAATTTCATAAATTTGAATGGGTGAGCTTGGTTCGAGTTTGATTCGAGTTCGAGCTCGAGTTTGAGCTTGATTCGAGTTGAGAAATAGTTATCGAGTTCGAGTCGAGCTTTGATTTTTACTACTCGCGAGTTTTCGAGTCGAGTTCGAGCTTGGAAATTCGGTTTCGAGTTCGAGTCGAGCTTTGATTTTTACTACTCGCGAGTTTTCGAGTCGAGTTCGAGCTTGGAAATTCGGTTTCGAGTTCGAGTCGAGTATAGTGATACTCGAGCTCGACTCGCATCATTTACACCCCTAATTTGAACCACCACGGACTACCATTGATCTGAACCACTGTCGACCACCGTCATCTGAACCACTGTGCGGACCACCACCGATCTGAACCACCATGGATCACCACCGATTTGAACCAACGCCGACCACTGTCGGTTTAGTAACGTCGTTCGGCTTATAGTTATATTTGCGTTGTGTATTTTATATTGTTTTACATATTAAATAATTATTTTATTAAATTATTTTTAGTTTTACAAAAATTTAAATTTTCAAAAAAGAACATTTTGATCATTCACCAATATTTCATTCCAATTCCAAAGCTACATTCTGTGAACCAAACAGACAATTTCCAATTCTTCAACAAATTTCATTCCAATGTCTGTCAACCAAACATGTAGTCAAATCTGACAACGTTTCATTCCAATTCATTCAAAGTCAAATTTCTTTAACAAATTCCATTCCATTCCATCCAAGAACATTTTACGAACCAAAAATCATCTATAAATTTTGGTGTAAAATCAAATTAACTTTTTAGTTACCTTTTTAAATTGATATATTATTTAATGTTTTATTATTATAATTTATATTTAAATATTATCAACTAAATGCCTAGTATTAAAAATAATAAAGTCAATAAGAATAATACATTTAATAATTGAATTTCTTGATAGAATTATAATTTAAAAACCAAACTTTATTTCATTATATTCATCAAAGTCGTGCTAACATGTACTACACAATTTTTTGATATTATTCTTTTTCTAACTCAATTTTAGAGTAAATTACAAATTTCATCCCTGTTGTTATTGAAAATTTTGGATTCGATCCCTCAAACAAACTAATTATATATACAGTTACCATGGTTTCATTTTTGTTATGAATTACGTTCCTTACCCTAACTCTAATAGCAAATACTCTATTAAATTAGGGGTAATAATGTCTTCTTATAATTTTCATTTATTTTGTTTTTCAAAATTATACATATTATATTTAATATTTTATAATATATATATATATATATATATATATATATTAAGAAAAATATTTCCATGTCCCTGTTAACAGGATTGATTCATAATGTAATTTAGTATATACAATATTAATAATCATAATAATTTAATATATAATATAATATTTTTCTTTTAAAGAAATATAAGGGGAAAAAAGTAAAATGACCAAAATGTCCTTGACTTAATAACTCTAAAATAACAAGAGTTAGGTCGAGGGACCCAATCCACAGCAAAACTAAATCAACGATGATGATATCTGTAATTAACTTGTGTGGAAGACCCAATCCATAATGTTGATTAACCATAAGGACCAAATCTGTAATTTACTATAAATATTATAAAACAGGATAATATAAGTTATTCGGTCGTTACCTAACTTATTCGCGATATGCTGTTAATGAAGCTGACAACCGAACTACCGACATTTACTTTGATTTTAAATATAATCTGAATCAAACATTTATTTTGTTGTGACAATGTTCGATTTTAACCAAAGAAGTCTAGAAGATCTGATTTATTTGTTACATATATATATATATATATATATATATATATGAACCCATGAGTGAGTTTTCTTTACGAGAAACTGGTCTGGCTTAAAAAAAATGTTCGACCTTGAATTGTTTTCACTGTCACATACACTGTATTGTCACATGCATTTTCTCTCTCTCTCTCTCTCTCTCTCTCTCTATATATATATATATATGAGGTTTACTTTGCAAAGCACGTTATTTGTACAAACCGTACAAACCTCATTCAACCAATCATAATTTTTGTTCATTTTTTTTGTTTATTTTTTATTTTTTGTAATTATGAGAGGCTGATTAATCATTTTTATCGTGGAGGATGTTAATTATGAATATCATCATTTTCATTATATTAATTTTAGAGAAATGCATGAAACAATTTCATTAAAGTTTCATAACCATATATGAAACAACTTTATCAAAAAAAAGTATTATATGAAACAATTTCATAAGATTAAACAATGAAATCGACAGATGAGTGTGGTTTGCACGGTTTGTACAAATATGGATGATTTGGTAGAAGTTAACGTGATATTTTGGTCTAAAATCTTAGTTTCTTATTTCAGGGTGGTTTGCACGGTCATTATTTTATTCAATATAAATATTATTTCATTCATAATTTTATTCTCTTTATTCAACAAAATGATGATGTGGTTTTACACGATTGGTAGACAATGATGGGATATAAAATTGAGGACAACCACCTAGTAAATAGACATAGTACATACAACAGATAAACACCTAAACAGACATAGTACATACAACGCCTAAACAGACAGTACATACAACACGTAAACAGACATAGTACATACAACACCTAAATAGTCATACAATCCTTGTAAAATTCCATGATCGAATACATAGAAACCCCACAAACAATTTCGAAACATGTGAATCCAGCTTCTTTAGCCAAGGCAGTGAATTCTTTTTCTGTCCGCTCTCTGCCGGTGGGACTCGCAATCAACATGATCATATCATTATTGACGGCAGCCTGAGAAGAAGCAAAATCGATGGCACTGATTGGTTGATGTTCAGGGTTGGGCATGATGACTTCCACCACCACTGCCTTTCTGTTTTCCGGCAACGCCGTCCAACAGTTCTTCATGAGCTTAATGCAATAATCGTCTCCCCAATCATGCAGTATCCACTAAAAACAAATTAAGTTCATCATCGTTATTTAACAGACACAAAGCGACACCTATGATCTGAAACAATTAAAAATTGCGTACAAAACATAGATATAAACACCAACCTTCACAAGGGTGGTGTCTAATTGGTTTGAGATTGACTCCAAAAGTCAAAAGTACCAGGAGGTCTCAGGTTCAAATCCAAGGAGGAATAAAAATCCCCTTGTAGCCACGAAGATTCAAATGCGGTGACTCCGGGTGTCATGTGTAAAGTGTGACACTTAGTTTATAGAGCGCTATTGGGTGATATAACAATTTTTTAGAATACTTATGAAATAAAGTGTTTTGTAATTAACTCTTTTATATGATATTATTTGAAAAAAACGTCGTATAAAAAAACAAATGGTTTCATAAAAATCTGTTCATATAACACTTCTCAAAATGTGTTCTATAAAAAACTAACTCAAAACTTCGTTTCAAAAGTGCTGATGGCAAAATAAAAGGTAAAATTCTATTGTAACGCCTATATACAATAAGGTACAATAACTGTTTGCATCTATTAGGACATTTAGACATATTTGGTATCTTATAAACCCATTTTTTTTCCCGTAACGAGACTAATGACACGATTT